AGACATCAAGACCAAGATCTCCTAGGGGGGGGGATACAAGCTCGACCAAAACCAACAAATGATGTGCCCTGCCATAGATGCACAGCCGTTGTCGCACTCACATCTACATATACTTCCTCATCTCCGGGGTGTGAAGTGTACACTCCTTATCCCTGAGATGGAGTAGGCGTGGCTTTTCAGCATGGCATAGAACGGGTTTCTCGTGGGGTACTCAATTTGAAATAACTGCCTGCTCCGAAATGACAATATCTCACGAAAACCTGGGCCGACGCCATTTTAAAATCAAGTACGCAGCCACGCCTACCCGATCTCAGGGATTTCGAGTATACATATATTCATTTTGCTTATTTATTACCACTAATGTACTTAACTAACTGAACTGTCTTGACATAGTGTATTATATTAATGATATCAATATTACAGAGCGAGACCTTTGAGTACACTAACTCAGCAGAAGAGGAAACGAAAACCAATCCCGACTACTACTTCCAGTCCATCACCACCGCTCCTTCAAATATATATAGTGAGTTCCGCTTTACATTCATTATATTTCGATATTCATAATCATAGTCCACGCTAAACTTGTGGGCGGAGACGGTCAGCCACGGTGCTTTTCCCATTAGTGTGGCCTGTTCTTATGAAAGGAAACAGATGCGCCAATGGGCACCATGATTGCTTGTTTTGCTCAAAAGAGCTTTGGTGGCGACCTTGAAAGAGCGCTTATTACTGACCATGTGAGATCAATACGGTGAGTAGGAGTAGAAGGGGACTCAACTTTAGCCCTTCAATCAGAGTAACGCTCGCTGTACAGGGACCGTCTGCTCAGTTTATCCTTCATTTCCTTCGAATATTTGATTTTTCATTTCCCTCACGCAAATCTGTGTTGATTCCGTCTGTCAGAGAGGGACACACTTATCATTTATTGTCCACCTATTTCAGCGTTTTCGTCGTTCCCATCGCCTTCACCTGTGCCAGTGCCACCAACAGTCTCAGTATTACCACACGTCAACAACACAGTAAGTTCTCTAAAATGTTATCCTATCATTCAATTGAAGGATTATTCGAAAGCATACTCTGCCTTCCCATGGTTCTCTCCCTCCCTCCTCCGGGTGGAGGATTCCATGCCAATGACGTCTTTCCAAATCTTTGATTCTCTCTCTCTCCCTCCGGGAAGGGGGAGAGGGGAGAGATTCCAAGCCAGTGCGTCTCTGAAAATTGAAGCTTCTTTCGTCTTACGCTCACCTAAGCGGGATACCGCTTTCCACTGTGGCCAACCTCCAAAGGCAGCTGGTAAGCTGTCACTGAGTCGTCGCCAGCTGCGGGGAAACGGAATTTCCATTTCGATGCTGACCTACAGCCAGCCAGCGAGCTCTCGCAGAAGGGGAGAAGACAATTTCCAGTTGTACGTCAGGAACTATATGTTTTTCATCACTGAAACTGTTGCCATCCTGATTATGCTCATAAGGTTTTATCGGCATACATGGAGGCGGTCAAGAGAGAAGTCACAGCGCAAGGCGACTTCATCACTGCGCTCTCTCTACTCAGGCTCAAAATTCCCTTTATTAATTCTTTATTTTGCAGCGAATTCCTATACTATTAAATTCTACTCTTGAAAAAGTGCCAGTAATGAAGTCCGATATAAATGCTATTTTTAGAGCGCATCTACTGAACAGTTGTGGACAACACTGGAAACCAAACCCACATCCGCAGAAACGCGACCCGTACCATACGAATGGCCGAGAACAACGTTGACAACCAGTGGAACCACGGTAAATCTTTACTATCGAGTCATCGTTCTCTTCCTTATGTTGGCTTTTAATTTTCGTATCACATTTTTCCCGCTTTTCATGGCATTCTTCTTCTCAGTCAAGGGATAAGCCCTTTTCAAAATTAAAATCAAAACATATTGCAGTCGTCCGTGGTTTCATCAACGTCTCCACCACTTCGTCTGGCGCCCGTTTTCAACCCAGCTCAAATTACCGTAACCGCGGACGAAAACGAGTCCGACATCGAAATTGCAAAGGTCAGTTAGCAAGGCTTGTAATCGAGTCACAAGTGTCTTTCTTATGACGAGATTCTGCCAGCTGTCCTTCTGTTTACGGATGCGGGCTTTCCTTCCTTCGGAGTGCTTACCGCCTGGCCATTTCGCTACTCTATGAGCGCATTCTGTATAATGCTGGTACAAGAAGGGGATCTGGTTTGGATGCTCTGCGAGGGGTTTTATGATTGTCGTTGAGAGTATTCTGCTTCTTGAATTTCCCTCTTTCACGCTGCTTTGTACAGTGTCGTTCCCTGCGGATGCCGGGCGTGTCAACGGGCTGGTTTGGCGCGGCGTCAGCCCGTTTTCCACCAGTTGCTACTTACTTGCTCCAAATGTTAGTGGAGAACGGGACGGCGTCGGTATGGACAACGCTGCAGCCCTCTCCCTCCCCCTCTGCCCCGCTTGACGGAAAATACTAGTAAAGTAAGTAGTAAAAA